ACTGGAAAAATTATAAATACTTTTTGGGTCTAAATTTTAAATTTTAAAATATGTTAAAATTCTATTTATTGTGCTATTATTATGGGACTAGTTTTAAAATGCGCGCCTTTAGATTGCAAACAACTTGATTCCAAAATGAGCAACGTAACATGAAAATTGATGTCAGAACACTTGAAAGATATAAATAATTATGATGATGAGCGTCCAAAATTAAAATATTTGTTAAAATTCCAGTTATTGCTCTATTATTATTAGACTAGTTTTAAAATGCGCTCCTTTATATTGCGAACAATTTGATACCAAAACGAGCGATGTAACACAAAAATTGATGTTATCAAACTGAACAAGTATAAACATTAGGTTGTGGTGTGCAAATTGGTGCTCGTTCACGGGTAACTTTAGGCTTTGCTTTGGGGAGTCTTGCCAGGCTTTTGGACATTATATGCATATACACCTGCAGGGAATTTAATTGCGAACACAATGATACCAAAACGAACGACGTAGCACGGAAATTAAGGTGAGAAAACCGAAATGAGTATACGCATTTTACTGATTTTGTGCACTCACAGGTAACTTTTCCGACTTTAGGCTTTGCTGTGGGGAGTCACGCTGGGCTTTTGGACTTTATATGCATATAAACCTGTAGGGAATTCCATTGCGAACACAATGATACCAAACGAACGACGTAGCACGAGAATTAAGGTGAGAAAACTGAAATGAGTATACACATTCAGGCGTCGCTGCACGCTCGCCCGCACCATACGCCCCATGATGTCAAAGTCTGTGGCGCTCACGCGCCATGCGCGATAGTGTAACATTATATTTCACTACTCAAAATATAAGCTATATGTTAATATAAGTCAATAATTGTAAGTTTGTTTTATGCCGCTATTAACCTGTTCAGTCCTGCTTAAATTAATTGCAAAGATTTATAAATAATGCTTCTTATTCTGATTCTGAATTACTCCATTTATTCCCACTATCTTGAAGTTATCTTGAGATGATTTCGGGACTTAGCGTCCCCGCGGCCCAGTCCTCGACCTGGCCTCCTTTTTGTTATACACCCCCAGAAAGCAGCCCGTAGCAGCTGTCTAACTAACTTATTTACTGCTAGGTGAACAGGGACATCAGGGTGAAATAAACTGTCCATTTGTTTCCGCCTCCACCAGGGATTGAACCCGGAACCTCAGGACTACGAATCCCAAGTGCCGCCCACTCAGCTGTCAGGCCCCTATGCACAAAGTTACCACATAGAATTAATTAACTTGCTTTGACACTTTCCCTCTCTCATGATTCCATAAATATATGCACTTTTGGATACCTACCTTGTGGCTACTTTGTGTATCTTCCGGGGATCAACGGCCCCGCAGCCCGGTCTCCGACTATGCCTTCTGGTTGCTGGACGTCAACCAGGCTGTTGGACGTGGCTGATCGCCAACTCATTCATAACTTTCCTATAAAACCCCTTATAAAGTCTGCATACATAATTTAACTACAGAATATATTAGAAATGTACAAATGTTATTAACACTTTCGCGCTCTCGGCGAAGGTCACTCAGCCAACCGTATGTGCGCGCGGCGTTTTTATCGCTTAAGCGTAAAAACAAAAATGTGTATACTCTTTTTACTTTTCTGACCTTAGTTTTCATGCTACGTATTTCATTTTGGTATCAACGTGTTCGCAATAAAATTCCCTAGAACATCATCAGTAAAAAAAGTCACGAAAGCTGTAGAGATACCAGCATGAAATAAATAACTACGAAGATGAGTCGCCGTGAGCGCTCAACAGCAACAAAATGTTTTTACTCTTGGGATTATTATCACCTCTACAATTGTCCTACAGCCTTAATTTTGGTATCAATGGACTCCCAATAAAATTCCCAACACGGTGATATGAATATAATCGTAGAATAATGGTCCCGGCCCACCCGCAAGAGTGTGGGAAGTGGGTGCACTGTTACCCGGTAACGGTGACCGGACGACACACGCGCGAAACGTTGCTTTGAAAGTTTATACTTATTTCACTGTTCTGATATTATTATTGTATGTATGTCATTCATTTTTGTGGCAATGTTTTCGCAATAGAATGTTCTATGAGCTAAATTATACTACACAAACTTGGACCAAATAGGTGTACTTACCAAGGAAAGGCTGGTTGTGGAACAGTAAGTTGAGCATTTGTTCTTCACTCCACCTTCTTCAGGTTCTTCATTCCTGAAGTTGCTCAACAGATGGTTTGTAGGTGGAGTGAAGCTGTTGCGGGTGGTTACTTCTTCACCACCCAATACACCTGTTTCCGGTGGTAATTGGTGTAGCAGGGAACAACACAGAGTGCAACACCACAGGTCTTGCATCCATAGTTCGTGTCCTTCCTTTTACCAGACCGTGCGCATGCATGACACTTGAGACGGTTGGGCAGTCTGTAAATTTCATGTTTCAGTTTGTAGTTCATGCGATTTTCTGAATCAACAATAGGGCGGCCAGGTCCTCTCGCTGGAGGTGTAACAGGAGTTGCAGGAGAGTCAGATTCATCTGACAAAACAGTTTCGTCAACTGGCAGTGTGGCAGACATGTCGGGTTCAGATTCGTTGTCTGCTTCATCTTGAGGTGGTGTAGTGAACAAAGGCCGCCTCACACCAGATGGTCCGAGAGTTGGCATGGCGTCAGCATTGGCAGGAGCTGTGTCATCATTTATGTCTAGAGCGTGCCGCAAGTGTTGAGATGATGTTGTTGTTTTAGGCCACTCCTCTGTGTCCCAGTGCAATAGGGCCCAGATTGCCACTTCGTGGAACTGTAGCAATGTTAGCTTTTTTCGATCAGTTGTGTTGTATTTGTACAAAACATAGGCATTATGCAATGCCATTTGCAGGAAATAAAAGGTAATCTTTTTGGTCCACTTGTGAGTTTTCCTGGTAAAATGGTAATATTTAACCATTTGATCGAAGTGGTCCACACCTTTCATGAACTTATTGTACTCGCAAATTGCAGTCGATTTGCTCACTGTTACCTGTTGTATTCCACTTGTTCCGTCTCGGTTGCGAATTCGCTTCCTTCGCTGAACTCGCTGAGTATCTGCATTGTGGATGTTGGTAGTGATTGAAACCACACGCTTGTCTTTCCACAGGAGAATGAAGGTATTATCTTTGCGGCGGTATACTGTGGTATCCAGTGGAAGTTTACCCTTGGCTAGAGCTTGCAATACCTTTGGGGCGCCACGTAGCATTCTAATTGTGCCACATGTGTACACCCCAAGTTCTCTCAATGTTTCTGTCAGGGTAACCGAGTTGTAGTAATTATCCATGTACAAATGGTAACCCTGGTTCACTAAAGGCTGCATCAACCCCGTTACTGTATCCTCTATCGTCTTACCAATACCTGAGTATACGTCAAAGTCATATATGTACCCAGAGACAGATTCAGCAAGCATATAAAATTTCACACCATACTTGTCTGGTTTGTTTGGATTGTACACTTTGAAGGATAGTCGGCCTCGCCATGCCATTGTACCCTCATCCAAACACAACTCTTTCTTGGGGATGTAAACTTGAGCAAACCTCTCTTTCAAGTAATCCATCACTGGTCTCACTTTTATCAACTTATCACGATTGTTCACGGGCACTGCATTGGTATTGAATGTGTGGAAAAACTGGTTTATATGCTGGAATCGTCTGGACGTCATGAACAAGCTGAAGAAACGAGCATGCCATGGCTTTGCTGTTTGCCAATACATCCTCATAGTTGGGAGCCTAATTATGCCCATCAATATGAACAGTCCTAGGAATCGCGCCATTTCACTCACCTTCACTGGGGTCCAAATATCTGATACATTTTCATTGGCCATCCGGAATAACTGCGAGGCGTACAAATTTGTTTCAACGGTAAAGAACTCAAGGAGGGCACGCGTGATGAACAATTGAATATAAGCCAGTGCACTAGTAGGCTTGGGAATTTTCAGTCCAGGATCTCCAGTAAAATCATCAACAACTGGAGAAGTATTGCTACGACTCCAGCCCTCACCAGCCCCAGCCTGCCGAGTACGTACTGTACGTGTACGCCTTTCAGCAGGCTCGAATGAATCCTCATCATTTTCCTCATCACTTATACTTTCAGAATCACTTGGCGCAATTTGTCGTGTGTTCCTACGACGAGTAACATGTCTGGTAGCAACTTTTCTAGGTAGCCTAGATGCACCACGTGTGCGCCGAGATGGAGGAGGAGGAGGGGGTCGCGGTGCCTCCTCTTCCTCGGTGAGGGCCTCAGTCTCCTCATCACTCGTTGCCGTATCATTCCCTCTAGCTCTAGGTACACTATAATCGTTGTGGATTTCAAAATCTTCCTCCAATACCTCTACAACACCTTCAGCTTCTGATAAATCCTCCACAAGGCCTGGAATTTTCGTTGGTGTGAGCTTCACTCCGCTCCACTTCTTAAAAATTTGGGTTATTTTGTCCACTCTCGATGACCTGGAGGCTTCCTTGGGCGTAGAAGTGCTTGGGCCTTGACCTTGATCCATTTTTGATGAAGTAATTGGGTATAATCCACACGGAAACGGGTAAAAATGCTCGAGTTTGGCGCGTGGGGGGAGCGTGATCGACTCACAACACGTGACACGAAAACAATGGGCCCGTCACGTGACCGGGTAGGCCGACGCGCCAGGCGGCCTAGTGGTGAGAAAGAGAACTTCATGGTGCGTCGTTTGAAACAAACCCCAATGAAATCGGATTAAAATTGAATTTTATACAAATATTTTAAAAGTTGACATAACTTTATGTCCACTATGCGTTTACGTTAGACGAAACCGAACGCGCCGGCGCGTCCAGATAGCGCGAAAGTGTTAACTTTACATGAAGCATGCTTAACAATTGAATATAAAAGATTGAGGGTTAGTGTTGTATTTGTGTTTTCATTATAAATAGTTGATACATAACTGAAAAGTGAAATGCAATTTAAATTTTTTTTAATCATGTTCTTTAATGTATTGTATTATATTTTTTCCTCAGGCTCGGCTTCTTCGACAAATAGTACTTGCTGGGTCAGTTGACCATGTTGCACGACGAGTGGATGATTGGGAACTAAAGACTCCTGAAGACAAATTAAAATGGAGACATGCATACAGGTATGACTTACCAAATTGTATTTAATAATTTATCATTATTAACACCTCTGGGGTTCTGGGCGTGCGCGTGCCAGACTACCTCAAGGTGGCCCGAGCGTTTCTTGTGAGAGAGATTTAACACTGAAATATGTAAACTCTTGTTCACATTTCACAGATATATTTCACTCTTATACACAGAGTATCATGAGGTGATACTCTGATACTCAGTTGCATCACCTCAATTTTCATTATATGTCGTTCATTTTGGTATCAAAATGTTTGCACTAGAATTTCCTATAGAAGTACAGTAAACCTCTATTTAGTGTCCTATATGGGGTCAACCTTGGTGCATTACAGGGTTGGATTCATTGCAGGAGGTGACCTTCAGGAGGCATTTGTGTCAGTGTCTATATTTTTCTTGTAAACAATAAAAATGCACTATCATACTATATACTGTACCTATACATTATTACTCTACTAAAAAATACTTTGTTACAGTTTTTATTTACCTTATTGTTGGAATTATGTCCATCTTGAATTCTCATGGAGTTGTGAATACTGTATAGTAAATACGTAATGTGCTGTATGTTGAGTACTACAATACACTTTATGAAAACTATTGTACACTAAAATTACTGCAACCTTAATTTTAACACTTTAACGCTATGTACTTAAATTTGACACTTGTTCTAACTGTACACTCCACACCCACGATGTTCTTAGATGTTTGCATCAGGTTTGCTGGTGCTCGCTACTGATGTGTTTGCTTCAGCTGCTTCTGAGCTGGTGCTGACTGCTGTTGTACTGGTCCTAGCTACTGTTGTGCTTGTGCTGGGTACAGCTGTGCTTGTGCTGGGTACGGCTGTGCTCGTGCTGGGTACGGCTGTGCTCGTACTGGGTACGGCTGTGCTTGTGCTGGGTACGGCTGTGCTTGTGCTGGGTACAGCTGTGCTCGTGCTGGGTACAGCTGTGCTCGTGCTGGGTACGGCTGTGCTCGTGCTGGGTACGGCTGTGCTTGTGCTGGGTACGGCTGTGCTCGTACTGGGTACGGCTGTGCTTGTGCTGGGTACGGCTGTGCTCGTACTGGGTACAGCTGTGCTCGTGCTGGGTGCGGCTGTGCTTGTGCTGGGTACAGCTGTGCTCGTGCTGGGTACAGCTGTGCTCGTGCTGGGTACAGCTGTGCTCGTGCTGGGTACGGCTGTGCTTGTGCTGGGTACAGCTGTGCTCGTGCTGGGTACAGCTGTGCTCGTGCTGGGTGCGGCTGTGCTCGTGCTGGGTGCGGCTGTGCTTGTGCTGGGTACAGCTGTGCTCGTGCTGGGTGCGGCTGTGCTTGTGCTGGGTACAGCTGTGCTCGTGCTGGGTACAGCTGTGCTCGTGCTGGGTGCGGCTGTGCTCGTGCTGGGTGCGGCTGTGCTTGTGCTGGGTACAGCTGTGCTCGTGCTGGGTGCGGCTGTGCTTGTGCTGGGTACAGCTGTGCTCGTGCTGGGTACAGCTGTGCTCGTGCTGGGTACAGCTGTGCTCGTGCTGGGTACAGCTGTGCTCGTGCTGGGTACAGCTGTGCTCGTGCTGGGTGCGGCTGTGCTTGTGCTGGGTACAGCTGTGCTCGTGCTGGGTGCGGCTGTGCTTGTGCTGGGTGCGGCTGTGCTTGTGCTGGGTACAGCTGTGCTCGTGCTGGGTACAGCTGTGCTCGTGCTGGGTACAGCTGTGCTCGTGCTGGGTACAGCTGTGCTCGTGCTGGGTACAGCTGTGCTCGTGCTGGGTACAGCTGTGCTCGTGCTGGGTGCGGCTGTGCTTGTGCTGGGTACCGCTGTGCTCGTGCTGGGTACAGCTGTGCTTGTGCTGGGTGCGGCTGTGCTCGTGCTGGGTACAGCTGTGTTGGTTGATTTTCTGCTACTAGTTCTTCAAAATATTGACTCATTTTCAGCACTAATAAGGCACCATTAGCAAGCTCCTGAGACATCTTGTTGTATAACAATACAGCTGTAGTCAAAAAATTATAAATTCAGTAATTATTCTTCCACCGGCGGACAAACACGTCACTCGCAGACAAAGTAATTACCTAAGTGTAGTTACAGGATGAGAGCTACGCTCGTGGTGTCCTGTCTTCCCAGCACTCTTTGTCATATAACGCTTTGAAACTACTGACGGTCTTGGCCTCCACCACCTTCTCACCTAACTTGTTCCAACCGTCTACCACTCTGTTTGCGAAAGTGAATTTTCTTATATTTCTTCGGCATCTGTGTTTAGCTAGTTTAAATCTATGACCTCTTGTTCTTAAAGTTCCAGGTCTCAGGAAATCTTCCCTATCGATTTTATCAATTCCTGTTACTATTTTGTATGTAGTGATCATATCACCTCTTTTTCTTCTGTCTTCTAGTTTCGGCATATTTAATGCCTCTAACCTTTCCTCGTAGGTCTTGCCCTTCAGTTCTGGGAGCCACTTAGTAGCATGTTTTTGCACCTTTTCCAGTTTGTTGATGTGCTTCTTAAGATATGGGCACCACACAACCGCTGCATATTCTACCTTTGGCCTAACAAAAGTCGTGAACAATTTCTTTAGTATATCGCCATCCATGTATTTAAAAGCAATTCTGAAGTTAGAAAGCGTGGCATAGGCTCCTCGCACAATATTCTTTATGTGGTCCTCAGGTGATAGTTTTCTATCTAGAACCACCCCTAGATCTCTTTCTTTATCAGAATTCTTTAAAGATTTCTCATATAATATATAGGTTGTGTGAGGTCTATGTTCTCCTATTCCACATTCCATAACATGGCATTTATTAACATTAAATTCCATTTGCCAAGTGGTGCTCCATATACTTATTTTGTCCAGGTCATTAATGGCATTGGGTGCCTACTGTTTGAATGCAGACTAGTTCTGTACACCCTACAGTTGGTTGGTCTTTAACCACTGTGCTGCTCCGAGTTTATTGTGAAATTCCCCCTGTAATTACCTAAGTGTAATTACAGGATGAGAGCTACGCTCGTGGTGTCTCGTCTTCCCAGCACTCTTTGTCATATAACGCTTTGAAACTACTGACGGTCTTGGCCTCCACCACCTTCTCACTTAACTTGTTCCAACCGTCTACCACTCTATTTGCGAAGGTGAATTTTCTTATATTTCTTTGGCATCTGTGTTTAGCTAGTTTAAATCTATGACCTCTTGTTCTTGAAGTGCCAGGTCTCAGGAAATCTTCCCTGTCGATTTTATCAATTCCTGTTACTATTTTGTATGTAGTGATCATATCACTTCTTTTTCTTCTGTCTTCTAGTTTTGGCATGTTTAATGCTTCTAACCTCTCCTTGTAGCTCTTACCCTTTAGTTCTGGGAGCCACTTAGTAGCATGTCTTTGCACCTTTTCCAGTTTGTTGATGTGCTTCTTAAGATATAGGCACCACACAACAGCTGCATATTCTACCTTTGGCCTAACAAAAGTCATGAACAATTTCTTTAGTATATCGCCATCCATGTATTTAAATGCAATTCTGAAGTTAGAAAGCATAGCATAGGCTCCTTGCACAATATTCTTTATGTGGTCCTCAGGTGATAGTTTTCTATCTAGAACCACCCCTAGATATCTTTCTTTATCAGAATTCTTTAAAGATTTCTCACATAATATATAGGTTGTGTGGGGTCTTTGTTCTTCTATTCCACATTCCATAACATGACATTTATTAACATTAAATTCCATTTGCCAAGTGGTGCTCCATCTACTTATTTTGTCCAGGTCATCTTGAAGGGCATGACACTCATCTAAATTTCTTATCCTTCCTATTATCTTAGCATCATCAGCAAACATGTTCATATAATTCTGTATACCAACTGGTAGATCATTTATGTACTCAATAAACATCACTGGTGCAAGAACTGAACCCTGTGGTACTCCACTTGTGACATTTCTCCATTCCGATACATTGCCTCTGATTACTGCCCTCATTTTTCTATCAGTCAGAAAATTTTTCATCCATGATAGAAGCTTACCTGTCACCCCTCCAATATTTTCCAGTTTCCAGAACAACCTCTTATGTGGAACTCTGTCGAAAACCTTTTTTAGGTCCAGATAGATGCAGTCAACCCAACCATCTCTTTCCTGTAATATCTCTGTGGCTCGATCATAGAAACTGAGTAAATTCGATACACAGAATCTTCCAGATCGAAATCCATACTGTCTGTCTGATATTATATCATTTCTCTCTAGGTGTTCTACCCATTTAGTTTTGATTAGTTTTTCCAATACTTTCACTATTACACTTGTCAATGATACAGGTCTATAATTGAGGGGGTCTTCCCTGCTGCCACTTTTGTAGATTGGAACTATGTTAGCCTGTTTCCACACGTCTGCTACGATTCCTGTACACAGGGATGCCTGAAAGATCAGGTGAAGTGGAATGCTGAGCTCAGATGCACATTCTCTCAGAACCCATGGTGAAACGCCATCTGGGCCAGCTGCTTTGTTCTTACCGAGCTCCTTGAGCATTTTTTCCACTTCGTCTCTAGACACCTCTATGTGCTCTATGTTGTTCTCTGGAATTCTTATTGTATCTGGTTCCCTAAAGATTTCATTTTGTACAAACACACTTTGGAACTTTTCGTTTAGTGTTTCACACATTTCCTTTTCATCTTCCGTGAATCTATTTCCCATTTTCAACCTCTGAATATTATCCTTTACCTGCAATTTGTTGTTTATGAATTTATAGAATAGACCTGGTTCTGTTTTACATTTGTCTGCAATCCCTTTTTCAAAATTTCTTTCTGCCTCTCTCCTCACTGCCGTGTAGTTGTTTCTCGCATCTTTGTATCGCTGGTATGTTTGGGGGTTCGGCCTCTTCCTGTATTGATTCCATTTTTGTGTCTTTTGGTCTCTAGCCCTCTCGCAATTTCTATTGAACCAATCCTGTTTCCTAGTTCTGCATCTCTGTTTTGGTATAAATTTTTTTGTGCATTTATCATATATTTCACAAAACTTGACATACATCTCATTCACTTCCTTGCCTAGCATCAAGTCTGTCCAATGTGCACA